CGTTTTTGTGACTTCCGTGCAGTTTTTCCTTTTTTGTTTCTTTTTTGGGGGGGGAAACTAGGCGGGAGTCAACAAAATGAGTTATAATTGCACCATGGGCCAAGATACAGCTGCAAATTGCAGTTGGGGCAATGTATACAACCCAGCTTTATGGCCAGGTAGGGTGCCCGAAGTGCAGTTGCAAACTGTATCTTACCTCATAGTGCAATTATAACCCGTTTTTGTGATGAAGTTACCCCTTTTTGGGGGGGGAAGGGAAAGCCCCTCTGCAAGGCCTCTATCCCGGTGGTGGTAAGAGAACCACCGAAATTGAGGCTTTGCCTGTCAGACTGCTCCATCTATTGGAGGGGAGCGACCCCGGCTGGAAACCGGATCCAGTGGCCCTTGGATACATCATCTGAGTACAATGTTTCATTTATTGGGGCGATGGTCATGTCCATTCCTATCCTGGAGGACCATCTTTCCCTTTGGGCTGCCTAGTTCACCCTTCATCCTACTTTTAGAGCTCCTGCTTCCTACCGGCCCAGCCCCCACCTGGAAGCTTGCCCCTATCGTTCTCCTATCTTGTGTAGCTTTATCAGCCGAAGCTCAGTTCCAGGCATCTGCAGCCCCCTTGGCTTGGGGTGAGCACTTGAGGAAGTGATAAGAGCATCTTCCTCAGGTGAGCCCCTAGTGTGAAAGCTCCAGCTATTGGTGGGGAGCAGCGCCTGCCGGGAACCGGCCCGGTGTCCTATCCCACTTTTCCAGGCCCATTCACTGTTTCGAGGGCAGAGGCTCCGCCAGTGCGCTCATGCGGCGCTGCATGGTGTCGTGCCAGCATCGTGTATCTCTTCAAGAATTTGGTCAGCTTGTGGTCATTTCTCCACAGGTATGCCGACAGGGCTACTCGAAGGTGTGCAAGATGCTTTTTAGGGATTTCCCAAAAGGCCGTTTTGTACCAGATAGTGGCTAGATTATTGAACCGGTAGGCCGTCGAACGCATGATTTACTGTTTTTCTTGCAGATTCTAACTGGTCTTCGCCCAAGCTTGAAGTGGACTGTTATTTGTGTGAGTTCTGAACTGTGCAATATATAATTGTGTACGAGTACCACCCAGCATCCCTTTCCAAAGAACGACAGCAGTCACAGCATTGAGGCCACTTTTTATTTTTATTTTGGGAAAATTTGTATCACGCCCCTCACAGTTGAATTTATTTGCATCACGCCCCTCTGACGGCGGACTTACCTGTCACATCCCTCCGGCAAGGATTCAAATTTGCAGCAAACCCTTGGCATCAGTTGGGCCTGAAATATGTTCGTTATGCTCCTACTGGTATCAGTTCCAACTTCTTAGTATGCCTCTGCCAGATAGCCGTTGAGTACTGACCATGATCGGTCGGGGGACCCATCACTGTGAGGCGGATCCCAAAGATTCTGATGGCTTCGTCTCGTGGCCGCCAGTTGACCGGTGGCTGTTGCAGTGGTTGGGTATCCTGCGGGGATGGCCACCATCCTTCGGTCTTTGTCCCCCAGTTAACCTTCATGTTGCTGCGATCGCGAAGGTTTGAATGGTATCTGTTAGTGCTTGGAGGGACGTGGCCGAGGCCCTAATGAGGACTGTGAAATCATCAGCAAACAGGGATGTTACCGGTACCATATGGGGGGCCAGTTTTGGGGTATCAATGCGTTCTATAGCCAGATTTGCTCTGATCATCGCTACCACTGCCTCCATGACCATCACAAAGAGGGGCCCCACCGGGTCCCCTTGCCTGACCGACCTCTGCAATGTGAAGGGGGGGGAGAGGTGTCCATTGACCATAATGTTTGTGGCAGCATACCTATGCATTATGGATACCCATGATCTGAAACCGTCCCCAAAGTTCATTTTGAGTAGACGGCAGTCGAGGAAGTCCCACCATGCTCAAATTTAAGTGGCACGTCAATTGCCTGCAATCTCAAATTCACTTGCCGCGACTCTCCGTACACCGGCGCCTACGGGGAAGAGAATCTGATCTCTCTTTTGTTACTCCCCTTTCCTTTCATTTTTTTAGTATACTAGGCTGTTTCTCTGGGCACCCGGGCACCCAACCTATACCCAGGTACACGCCCGGGCAGAACCAGCACAAAAAAAAAAAAAAGTCCGGGAAAAAAATATGTTGTGTAGAATTGGAATGCAAACGACCTTTGGCTGAGGGTCACATCAGAATTTCTCACAGAATTGGAGATAAAAAAGAAAATAACAGAATCACACTAAGGCACCCCTTTATCGCATTGTAGTCGTACGGGGGGTCTCCGTACGGTCCGTGTGTACGAACGTACGAACGGCCGTACGGTCGTACAGACGGTGGGGGGGTGAGGGGGGGGGTTGACACCCAAGGATGGTAAGGGGGGTCTCGAGGGGCCCCGTAGTATTACAAAAAAAAAACAAAATTGCCATCGAAAAAAGAGAAGAAAAAAAAGCAAAATCGAATGAATCTACCGCTAGAACATGGAAATATACAC